ATGATTGCTTGTCCCTCACTGGAAATAGAAAGCAAATTTAAAATGGTCCTTTACATGCACAGGTGCTTGTGTAACAGGACACCTGTATTACCTACAAGTACATTACTAAGACAACAGGCAAATGCCACATTACGCTACTTTAACATAGTGTAAAATCACCGGTTACGTGAGCAATAATCTGAGGATTGCAAACTGATGCCTGTACATCAGTGATAAACTTTCCTGACCTGACACTCAGCCCTGAGCTCTCTCTTTGACTAGCACGATCATGATAGTTTTTTCATCCTCTTCGAGTCTCAATCCTGAAATGAACACTCACACTTGCCTTACAGAATAATCACATTGTCTGCTGAAAATGCAGTCTTATATATATATATGCATTTTTAAATGCATATATCATTCATTCTTGCAGTTATTATCTTGCACCTTGGTTCTTGGTGCTTTCGTCTCGTAATGAGCCTTACTTACAACTAACCAGAACTAAATCTTACGACAAGGAGAAGGAGAAAAGGAGTTGGGTTGAAGATTCGACTGCAGATTCTATACACATGTATTCTGAGGAGAACCTTAGATCCTGATTCAGGGCGCTGGAGTTAAATCACACTCTGGAATATCTGGGGTACACGTCAGTTTAGGTACTGTAGAATTAAATTCTATAAAAGGATAATAAATTGTCTTTTAAAATCTTTCTAAAGCATTATGGAAGAAAGAAACTTATTTTTATGAATAACCCTATTGTAAGGGTTAAGGGTGTGAGTCTTTGTTTCTTTTATAATGCTTTAGAAATTTTTAAAAAATATGATTTATTATCCTTTCCTATAGTGTAATTCTAGGGTTAGAGATCACACGCCATTTTACTGCAGAAGAGATTGGTTATAATCACATTCAGGCCCCTGTGTTAATACCTGAAAGACATAAAACATTTCTAAACGGCGTTTGTAACCCCTGATTTGAAGTGTTACTAAATACCAGTCACACAAGGAAAATATCCATCCCTGGAAGAACAATATGAAAGAGACATCAATAAGGCTGTCCATATAGTAGCATGACTCAAAAAGGTCAGGCAGAAGCAAAGAGCAGAGTATACAATGACATTATATATTTTATTGGCTCATCTCCCTGCTGTTGCTTTGAAGGGGCTCACAGGGCATGCCCCCTGCTGTGACCCTTTCCCCAGAGGTATCACACACTTTCCCAGCTACCTTCCCCCCACTAGCAGAACCCCTGTCCACGGGCAGAACCGAGCACTAGTCACATTTTCCTATTACTCCACTTCAAAGTAAGCATTTCCATAAACCTTATCCCTACAACACAGGCAGGAACACATCCTCCCACGCCAGATGCAGACCCACCAGGCCCGCAGATGGAAATCACAAGACGATTGCAGGTTCAGCATCTAAATTAGTTTGGATAGTGAATCCCCCAAACACCAGAAATACCAATACCTGGCCAACAAAACATTCCTGCATTGCTTTTTAATGGAACGTTTGCATTTTTTAGGTCAACCATGGATTTCTGATTACAATAATAAACTGCAATAATAATAATAAAATACAATAATAATAATAATAATAATAAATAAAATAAATAAATTAAAAATAGGAGGTCTCTGGTAGTCTTAATGATCACCTATGTTGCTTTATATATCACACTAATTGTGCCTTGTGCCTAATTGGAAACAATTTTGTATACGGAAAACTAACACAGGAAAAACCTAAAAGAAATTCCTGCATTGGTGACAAGGGGACAGTGCGGGGGAAATATAGCAGCCCTGATTGTAGTTTAAACACCAAGACCTCTAGAACGGTCTCAAAGGAGAGAGGCTAATTGATAGGGAGCTTCAGTAACTAATTGACCTGAGGATCTCATCCAGCTGTTTCTTGAAGGGAGCAGTGGTCTAGGCTTGGGGAACATAGTTGGGCAGCTTGTTCAAGGCTCCCACCACTCTTTGCATACAGCACTGCCCTATTTTCTCATTTTTAAATACACACAGCAGTTTCTGCTAGTGGCCCCTAATTCCTGTTTTACTGCCGATTCGGAAGGCATCCACTGGGATGCTTCTGTCACCGTCTTTGAGGACAATAAAAACATGATTCAGGTGCCCTTGTACTTTTTCTTTCAAGACTAAACAGGTTTCATTCTTGCAGCCGATCACTGCAGACTATGTCTTAATGAGTCCATGGATGTGCAGTATTTTACAGTACAGCTGCTCCACTCTGCACTCTTGATTCCAGGGCAGCAATATCTTTTTCTGTGTCTTGGTGTCCGAAACTAAATACAGTATCGAATACAGACTCCCAGATGAGGTCTTACTAGTGCCTTGGACAGTTGAAACAGAACAGTACATTCTGTTTGCCTTTTTATTGCTTCCCTCACAGCATCTCAAAGAGGAAAATGAGATGTCTACACAAACACTTAAACCCCTCTCATAACACCCGAAGATATGTCTGAATGAGAGACAATTCCTGATAGACCATCCACCTAATAGGAAAAACAAAAAAACAAAAGAGCCACAGGAAGCAATGAGCCACTCTTTGACCTGATGATGTCAGAGGTGAACGTCTGGGGGGGAAGATAAGGTCAGGTGGTCGGGTCAGCACCACTGGACACAGTATTCAAATGCTAATCCACAGCCAGTCAGATTTGAGACCTACTCCAGTGGGAAACCAAAGCACATCATGCTGTACCTACAAGACCTTCTGTTACACAGCCTTCCATTTATTTTTAAAATC